GTGGAAATTAAAAACGGACTTGCTTAGTTTCACACAAATCACAATGGTGTACTATCAAGGAAAAAATCATCAACCAGAAAATGATTAAAAATCGTCTGCAGCTTATTGGAAGATAGTGGAAAATTAATAAAAATTTAAACTCGATATCACGATCATATTCAGCTAACCTCAGTGCCTGGTTGATAAAATAAATACGATTTTCAAAATGAGATACTTCATTACCGTATATGGCTTGACTTATTGGTTTATTCCTTAAAACAAACAACTAGCATGTCATCAGGACATGGAGTTCCCAGGTGGTCTCCCATCCAAGTACTAACCAGGCCCAATGTTATACTCAACGGCTGCAATCAAACAAGAACAGGTGCTTTCAACATGGTATGGCCATTGACAAAAGAACATTTGACTTCAAAATTGAGGCTTTCACTGATGAAATTTTTCAGTTTCTTTCCTTTCTACAAATACCTAACTGTCCAAGGAATTGTACCTTCAGCTCCCAAGAAAATGAATATTGTGTTGTACAGTAATAAAGTGTGGCAAAATAAGGGTGCTTCCAGAATTTAAGATGTACAGTATGTGTCAAAAAAATTTAAGCCCTCCTTTTTCTCCTTTGTATATTCACCAAAGTGCACATATTTCATAGAAACATTCATCACAAGAGGTATGTTGGTTCAAGGGCTGATGGGAAAAATGTCCAAACTATAGTTTTGAAGAAGTACAATACTTGCAGGCACCACTAGAAATAACTTCACCATCCATTTCCAAATCACAGATACATCAGCTAGTACAGTACTGTACATTGATTTCAATTGATTATATTGTGGGAAATTTGCAGAGCTCTCAAGAGAAATCACCTGAAATATTACTTCAAGTGCCAGTTCTTCAAAATGAGCAACCATCAGCTCATGTCAGATTTCTAAATATTAGGAATCCGATTTCAATCCCAATGCAAAAAAAAAAACTCAGATTGAATACTGTATAAATGCCTTTCAATGGTGCATTCTGCACTACTTCCCATAAAAAATGAGCCAAACATGAAACAGAGTCCAGTCAAATTATAAGCACAAGTTGATTACAGTAAAATCTTGTTACAACAGATACCACTACAACAAATGTTTCAGTACAACAAACTTTTTTAAAGTCCCAGCAGAAATCCTATAGTGTAAATGTTATAAAAATCTCAATAAAACAAACAGCCAATTCCAGTATAACAAACTTTCTTGAGGAACATTCTAAGATTTCTCAATTAAAAATCTGTAATGGAGGCAGCACAGTCTCAAATTTCCCATTTCAAATGTGACTGGTGACTAGTTCTTGGAACATAAGGAGTCCAGCACAAAAATTTAAAGTTCACCTGAAAATCCTCTCTTTCAAAGATTATTCTCATATTAGGAATGATAATGGTGGGAGGGGGGTGATCAGAAGGGAAAAAATAAGTCCAGCAATACTCATGTTAAAAAAGGGTTTGTATGCTTGAGAAATGCTAGAGATGTAAACATTGTTAGCAATTTTGACACATTCACCCTTAAAAATCTTTGCAGGAATTGCTTTAACAAACTTGGAGTCAAGAAAGTGTGCTAGTATTTACCTGTTATTCAGAGTATCTGTTTTTTTTATCATCAACAATTACATTTCTTTTTGAAGATCACAGTTTTTTAACCATTGAAAAACATCTGAAAAGGCCACAATAGGAAGATGTTGATATGTGTAGTTCTAATTTTCAAGACAATCTTCCGATCAGGCAATAATTTTCAACATCTCATTACAACAACTTATTTTATTAAACAAACTTTTTCTCAAGTCCCCACAAGTTTTTCTTTGACAAGATTTTACTGTATATGCATTACTGCGGATTCACGCATAACAAAAGACAAACAAAAAAATGCAAACGTCGAAAATTTCAGGAGAAAAAAAAAATTTATATACATTATATATATACAGTATATATATAGCTCTATACTGTATATATAGCTATATATATTATAGCTCTATATATATAAAATATATATATATAAATAGTTGATTCTTCCGCCGATTTAGGATAACAATATATAAATGACGAAATTCCTTTAAAAATTCCAAAAAAGGCAAAAATTTCAACAAGTTGAAGCAGTAACTTGATCACTTTTTCAAAAATGAAGAAAAAAAGAGAACAAGGCATCGTTTTATATTTTTGGCGTTGCACTTGGAGAAATTCAGAAATTTACGAGCAAGATTTGTGAGGAGTACTTGAATTCATGCTAAAATATACAAAATTCACAATTTTCAGCAGAAAAATGTGCAATTTTTCTGTCTTATAATTGTCTTTCGTTGCGTTGATGGAACTAATTTCATCATTGACAAATGTGATTTCACGTGACACGCGTTTCGCACAAGAAAAATTCGGCACAACGAAACTCATCCAGGAAATGATACGTTTCGTCATATGCGATGACCCACTCCGTATTTTTCACTCATTCAAGAATTTGACAGAATAAAAGAAACTGTTTTTACACAGAAACAATTTTTGAGCTCTCCTTTTTAAAACTGGATTTATGTAGCGTACAATGAAAAAATTTAAAGTCACAGACGAATTGTTACATTTTCCAAGAAAAAAGTTCGTGAATAGTTTTTTTCGAGAAAACCCGATTACTCGGCAAATTTGAGAAAATTCAGAACACATCCAGGAGAATATTCGCACGGTCTCAATTTCCAAAGGAACAAGAAAACAAGATTCACTGACAATTTTTGGTGGGAGATTCTGAAGACATTTGACGAGTTATTGGAGCAAAATTACAGTAAATAGCGGCATCCGGAAATAATTTCGAACGCGTTCTTAAACGATAAGCAAAAAAAACCAAATTATTCCCACCTCGATTTAATTTCCTGATAAAATAGAGACTGAGAAAAAAATGCTAAATTTACAGAAAAACTCTAGTTATAATAAGACATTTGTTACAGGATGTTGAAAATACCCATTCCAGTCTGACGATGGCAGTGAATCAAAATTGGGATGGATTTATACTGGGATGAGAAGCTGTTGGCGGTTTTCAGGAGGAATTTCATTTTTATCAAAATCTGTGTAAGTTTTTCATAAACAGCCATTATTCTGGTAAAACCGTTCAATAAAAAATTACCGATTTCACAATGACGCTATCCATTAGTTTGACCGCAGCATGAAGTTTCCCCATCGTTCCTCACTTGATTTCAGCATTTCATAACAATTATTAAAAAAGCATTCATTTTTCCTCGTAACGGCAAGAAAATTCAAATTTATTTCTTGCACGAAAATAAAGCATTCAATAAAATTATTTCATCCATTTCGAGTGATTAAACATGGTATCTATGAAGATTTTCCAAAAGAAAATCGCTCAAAATATTCTCATATTTTCAAGAAAAATTATGGTAAAAGTCAACAGCACCCGGTGTTCCCAGGCGGTCTCCCATCCAAGTACTAACCGGGCCCAACGTTGCTTAACTGCCGTGATCGAACGAGAACGGGTGTTTTCAACGTGGTATGGCCGTTGACATTTGCTGAATCACCAGAGACTGGATTCTAACCTATAGTAATGTACTTTACAGTACACATTACTAAAAAATGCATTGTTTCAAAGTCTCAACACGAATCAGTACCAGAAGTTTTCCTAAAAATCAAGGGACTCCGAATCGAGGTATAAATTGATACCTGACTCACTCAATTTTACAAAAAGCACAAAAAGAACTGAAATGTGACCAGCTGCAATAAGTAAAAAGCATCTGCAGCTTGGAAAATCAGAGAAAATGATGAAAATCAAAACTTGGCATCACAATGATGTTCCTCTAAACTAATTGCCTGGTCGACTAAATAAAAAAGATTTTCAAAATGTCATACACATGGATTGACTGATAAGGTTTTTTTCCAAAAAAAATGAGGAAAAGTCAACAGCACCCGGTGTTCCCAGGTGGTCTCCCATCCAAGTACTAACCGGGCCCAACGTTGCTTAACTGCCGTGATCGAACAAGAACGGGTGCTTTCAACGTGGTATGGCCGTTGACATAAGTCAGGTCACCAGAGTCTGGATTCTAAGGTATAGTACTGTACAGTACTGCAGTATAACATATTAAAAAATGCATTGTTCCAAAGCCTCAAATCAGAGCCATAAATGTTCCTAATAATCAAGGAACTTCGAAACGAGTTATAATTCGATACCTGACTCACTCAATTTCACACGAAACACACAAAGAACTGAAGTGTGACCAGCTGCAATAAGTAAAAATCATCTCGGGCTTGGAAAATCAGGGAAAATTATGAAAATCAATACCTGATATTACAATCATGTTCCCCTAACCTAAGTTTCTGGTCGACTAAATAAATAATATTTGCAAAATGTGATACTTGAACACATGGCTCGACTGTTCAGGTTTTTTTTTTTCTTGGAAAAATTCAACAGCACTCGGTGTTCCCAGGTGGTCTCCCATCCAAGTACTGACCGCGTCCAACGTTGCTTAACCACCGTGATAGAATGAGAACTGCCATTGACAAAGGTCCAACCAAAAAAATAGGTTAACGTTTTATGCAGCATACATGTAAATCTTTTCGCAAGTTGGAAATAGTGGTTTATTGGAAATATAGACATCATGCATCCGATTGTCTACGGCTTTTTCTCACAATATAAAACCTCGTTTGAATACCAACAATATTCATCCAATAGGGTTAGAACTGCTGATTACAGTAATAACACCGGGTGCTGTTGACTTTTACCACAATTTCTCTTGAAAAGAGCCAAGCAGTAATCACATCAAGACACAGTGTGTACAGATAGATTTCGTCAGAATAACTCAACTGATCTTCATTCCTTTGTTCCTGCTCAGGTATACAATAGTAACCGACTACAACAATGAATTACCGACAAACAAACCATGCACTATTCTCAAATGAGCTATAAATACTACTCATTTATTTATTTATTTATTCTGATTCATCAATGTTCCCGTTCATCCTGCGGGAAATATTCCAAGATAGAAAAAAAAACATAACTCACCGCCATTGAGGACTTTCTTCAGAGCCTTTTCCTCGCCGCAGGGCCACCAGCTTTTGCGCACCTTCCTGGTGGGAACAAACAGGGTCAGGTCCTTCCATGCCAAATGGGCCCCATGCTTGGTTGCAGTCTTGGAAGTGAGTCCCACGCTGCCGTAAAACGACCTTCTTCCCTGATGGTGGTGTTGATGGTGGTGAGAGGAAAGATAGAAAAAAAAGCAAAAAAATTAGTTTGAAAAAAGATTACATTCAAAAATGTATACTTTAATACAATATTCCATGCAGTAACTGAAATATACTGTGCTTGCAATGTGAAATTCAGACAGACCCCCAGATGGGGGCATAATTGGTGCATCAAGATTCAAGAGTTGACCCCAAGTCAAAATGTCCCTAAGTTGAGTCTTGTTTTTCCATAGACTTCCATAGGGTTCTGAAGGCTGGGGTTCCTACTATGGGGTCTAAATACTGGGCAGTATTAGCAGTGAAGAGAATAGGTTAAGGTTTAGCAACATCAAGATTCAAGAGTTGACCCCCAAGTCAAAATGTCCCTAAGTTGAGTCTTGTTTTTCCATAGACTTCCATAGGATTTCTGAAGGCTGGGGTTCCTACTATGGGGTCTAAATACTGGGCAGTATTAGCAGTGAAAATAATTGGTTAAGGTTTAGTAGCAGTCTAAATAAGGATACTTAGGAGCCAAGCAATGGCATATTTTTATACAAGTATATTGTTGTAGCAGAGATGCTTGAAAAATTCTTGTGAGAATAAAAAATTCACCATCTAGATTAGAAAAATAAAACTTGTCAGCATAAAGAAATGAAGGCACAATGTGTTTTTCCCAAGTCATCTCCTTTCTGAAGGATACATTTTTATTCATTGCCCAGTCATCAAATAAAGATTTGCAATAACAGCAATAAAAATAAAAGCAGTACTTTGCGTTGTAAATCACTGTCATTGTGCCTCTATACAGACTGAATCACTATTTGATCCATTCAAATAAAATTGGAGCATTGCAACAACAACAAAAGAGAATAAAAACATCATCCACTGCAGAAAGTATTGTTCTCATAATTTTACTGGGAAATATTTTTGCTGCAAAGGATCATCTATAAAAGCTATATAAATGAAATTTTTAAAATATTTTATCACCTTGGACTCGCAGTTATTGAAAATTTTTCACTATTTCATCATAGTCATTCTCCATAGCTGCATTTATAACTCAAGAATAATTTTGCTAGCCAGACATTCAGAACTTAATTTCCTGCATTTTCTTTGCCAGTCAGAATTTTGATCTTAATTTGGAAATTACTGTATTTCTAGATTAGATTCCAGATTTAAATTGAGAGTGAATAAAAAAAAATATAGTGCACCTGCCTCAAAATTTTGAATCTAATTCAACCAAAAAAGAACCCGATTCCCTCTTTTTCAACTCAAGAAAATCACCTTTTTTAAAACAAAGAAAAAAGTCATGCTTGGATAGTTTATTCTTCATATTAAAAAGTCGAGCACAATTTATTTTAATTCGGCGATATTTGTTCAAATTATCAGGCGATAGTCAAATTGCAAGGCCTGCAAGTCGAAATCAAAACTCAAATTACAGATAATACCGCATAATTATCGATCATTGGCATCATTAGCAACTATTTATTACTGTGCAAACAAATGAAGAAAAAATCAGGGAAACGTGATTCTTAATATTAATTAAAACGTACGCGTCAACAAATCAACATTGTTTTCGCATCCTCAATAAGCGTGTTTACCATCTCACGAAACGCATCTTGACACACTATTTGAAGATCCTTCATCTGCATTTATTACACTTGTTTTTTTTTCATCCCTCGCCAGTCTTTCAAGCATTTTTTTTTTTTACAAATCATAATCAGCAGCAAGGTAATCAGAATTCAAGTTATGCTGGCGCCAGTCGAGCCTTTGTAAATCAGCATTTGAACACTGACCAAGTAACATTTTTTTGTATTTATTGCAACTTCTAACTGGAGCAGTTTGAAGTTTAAAAGAACTGCGAGACGGAAATCGGATTCAATCAGTTTCCTGAAGCCCATAAAAATGTTTTGATACAGGCTAAAAAAAAAAAAGGCTGTCTGTGGTAATTGAGAAGTTTCTGGAAGACGCCAGTCATAATTTATTTATCGACGATTTATGTTTTCAAGGATATTGACAATTTAATTCAGGACGAATATTCAGGGAATATTCGTCCTCATTTTAACGGGAGTTCGGAAATCAAGAAAGAGTGATTCCTTAAGAATAAATAATGAATGGATTAATTCATTTGAGAAACTCACGAAATTAAGGCCCATAACAAACGTTGATAACCGCATAAAATTCTTGTTTTCTCGCATAAATTAAAATTTCTGAAGAGTTCAATTCAAGTAATCCTGACAAGTTTGTGCTAATCACTTCCTGAATTTCAGAAATTTCAGAAATAACAAGAAGGAGAAATTATTCCCTTGCTTTAGAATTTTCCTTGAATTCCCAAGTTTTAGCCCAAACTTGGCAAATTTCGAGCTCGTTTTTCCAGCCAAAATTTCCGTTGAATGAAACAATTTTGTCAAGCAAGTCCATTTTAACCCAGTGAACTTTTTGGTAATACAAATTTTTTTATGTGAGGACTCTCTGTACATGAGTTTCTCCACTTTGGAAATCATAAACAATTTTGCCTTTTTAATTACTACAAAAAACAAATTTTCAAAAAAATTTAAAATTTTGCAAGACTTAGGAAACGAGTCTAGTCAACAGAAAAATTTCAATTTTTAAACTCTTAAGATAAGATTTCATAATATTCTGAAAAGTGTGGGAATCTCAAGTGATACCTGGGAAGGTTTCATTTTTCTTTATGCAGGGTCTTGAAAAAAACTGGTTTTTTTCTAATTTGATAAGAATATGAAACGCTTGAAACATCATGGGAAAATTTTGAAATTGGTTTTTAATAATGTTATAAACTTATAAATATATAAATACATAACTTTTTCTGAATATTCGTTTCAGACTCATAAGGACAATCAACCCCATGTTGTATATTATATTTTAAAAGTTCCAGCTAAGTTTGACAATTCATCATTTTTGCTGAAAAACACAAGTTCTTCAAATTAATTAATGTAATCAAATCTTGGTAAAACTAAGCCATAGAGACCAGTAAAATAGCTTTTTTGCTATACATACAGTGAGACCCCCAGATGCGGACATGATTGGTGCATCAAGAGTGCCTTTAAGTTGAAATGTCCTTAAGTCGAGTCTTGTTTTCCCATAGACTTACATTGTATAATTTTTAATTGGAGTTCTATGGAAGATATATTCTTCATACTTCCATGAAAAAATTTTGTTTGCCCCTTGAATTTGATTCAGTGAATATTTTTTCAACCTAATAAGAACATTTGGAGCATTGAATAGTATACCACTGCACACTTTATTGAATTGTTGGCATCTGTAAAAATGACATCCAAGTCACAAAAAGAGAAGGAAGTCCATCTGTGCTACAGGTAATTTTTTTTTATTAGCTGAATTGATGGGTAAGTGATAGGAAAAGTACCAAAGAATTTTTCTTACATAGATCATAGGGTTGGAAATATCTGTTTCTTGAAATTAACCTTAATAAAAGTCAATTTTCCTAAAATTTGTAATTGGCAATTTATCATGCAATGTCCTCATGTTGGGTCAGTGTCCCTATGTCGAGGCATTTTAATGATTTTTTATTGAAAAATAAATGTCCCTATGTCAAATTGTCCCCATGTCGAGGTGTCCGCATGTGGGGGTCTCACTGTACAGTATATATAACCCAGAACATCTTGCTCAAGGCAACCCTTTGTCAAAAACTTGTAAAACAGGAGTGAGGACAGAAATGTTTGGACACTAAGCAAACAAAAATTAGGCATCCTGAAAAGTACCCAGAGACCTTTCGACCGGGAACCCGATAAAGATGGGAGGCCTTTTTTAAATATATACGCATTCCAGTCGACTGCGAGCGTCTCACAAAAGAGGAACCGACTCGAATCATCAATCAATCGATCAATCGATCGATCTATTGATCATCGCCATCGACATTGTAGTCTCTCCCAGAGTCAACAATGGTAATTGCCCAGTGTATTCGAAAAAGATAAGTAAATGAAATGCATAACATCAACTGTTTACGAGGCTCGTCGAAAAAAATTCTGGGATGAATTCGTGTTATCAGATGAAACTAGAATATTCTGATGGATTTGATCCAACTCTTTAGCTTTTTATTTTACATTTTTTAAATGTCTGATGTGTGAACGATTCTAGATTTTTAGAAAATATTTGGGAGTGTCTCGGTTTGCGGACGTTTATTCGCATTGCAAACTGCCGGGTTTCATAAATTTCTGAATTTCCGCAATAAAGAAAATTCAACCTTTCGCTCTGAAAAAAATATTTGCCAAGAATTGTTCACCCATTTTTTTTTTTTTCAATTTCACACCTTCCGCATACTTTTGTCTTGCAATTCCCTCTCATTTCGGACAACGGAAAATTCCGTCTTTTCATGGACACAGTTAAAAGTTTGTAATTCAAAAGAAATGGTCTGAATTTGCAATGCAACACGTGTTAAATAGAAAGTACTGTACAGTACAGCAATTGAATACGGTAAAATACCGTTGAAAAGAATCTCTTTATATACAACAAATAATCGATTACATCGAATAATTTTAACGTGAGTTTTCTCGAGAAGGAATTTTCGTTATAACTATGGTATTTTATACTATAATCCCAATGGCTTCGTTGTAACGATATTTTACTGTATTTGCATCCTCCGTCAGCATTTCCATTACAGTAACTGAATCAAACTCGTTTTCGAAATATTTTGAGACAAAATGTGCTTCTGATGCGTCATTATTTAAAAATAAATTTGCTTTCACATCACCGAAGCAAAGGAGTTGAAAGGATAAGTTTCAAAGATTTCGAAAAAATATGTCCTCGTCTCAGAAATTCCACTTTGGGCTCAATTGAAATTTAAAATGGGTTCTGTAATTTTTATACAGTATTAAAATTTTATCAGATTTTTCAAAATCCTCACGAACTTTCGGGTGACGTGTTTAATGGAGGCTACACAATTCAACAATAATCAACTCGAAAATCAGAATAATTTCCTGCCAGCAATACTTACGAT